AGTGACAAAAACATTCAACATTCCTCCATTAAACCCCCATTGTAATTTCAGGCAGATATTTCCTCACAGCAGCAGCCGCACACCTTTAGTTAAACTGCCAAAAAGGCCACATTATTAACCCGAAACTACACAAAAATTACACTTCAGATACTCAACTTCCTTGACATGCTTCACGTTTTGAAATTTCACAGATATCTGTTACGGTTCTTCCACAAAACGTTCACATGTAAGAGGTTTATCTCTCATTCAGAACAATGAAGCCTTTGATCTCTACAGAGCTCGTTAGCTCAACTATAAACACCTGTGTAATGGAAAACGATGATGTCATCACTCCAACTGACATGCTCAGAGCAGCAGAATTCAGATAGCAGTGTGCTAACAGTCCAGCCGTGAAGACATCTACGTGACAGTTTTGAGATTTCTTCAAATGCCGTTGCCATGGCAACACAATGCTCACCATGAAACACGGTTTTCTCATCACTTCAGTGAAAATGCTCCAAATGGCCCAAAACTTCACAGGTTTGGTAACGATGCAGCCATCAACACATCTAAGCGTATTATGGGGTGTCATCAAATACCGTTGCCATGGCGACAGATCATTTGTCATCAAGTTAGTCCAAAAGTTTGCAGTTCAAATATTCTGCTGCTTTTCCAAGCCTTTTTACTTTATTTTCTTCTCTCATCACACATTCAAGCCCCCAGTGTTCATGTGTCATTTCAATCTCAATTCTTCACTTTCTTCTTACACATTAAATTTCAGCATAGCAGTTTAGCGTCAGCTTTTCAGCATAAAGCATTCCCACTTGCAATTTCTTCAGGAATTGCATTCTCTAGTTATAATTATGTTGCTGCAATGCTAGAAGGGACACATGTCTTTTATGAAGAAACTAATTTCTCACATAGTTCCGGGCAATTTTGGCCCCTTCTCAGTGGCTTTCTTTACATTTTGATTCATCTGGAATCAATTTACCAATTTAATTTATATTTTAGCATGAATGACCTTTGAGGCTTGGTCAGTGATTGTCAGAATGATGCAGAAAATACAGTTACACGTTTTACCTTTGGAGATAGTCTCCCTTAAATTCAAAATACAGCCTAATGGTGATTTTGTCAAAGGTCATTATATACATCTTTCAGGAGTGAAATTAGCTAAATCCGTTTTCAAATCAGATGGTACAAATTCCTTAAGTGTTTGTGTCTGTGTGCACACAAAGGCGGGAGCCAACCTGGACATGTGTGACGAGGAGCAGAGGACCCCGCTGATGGCCGCCTGTGAGAACAACCATCTGGACACGGTGAAGTACCTGCTGAGAGCCGGAGCCGCTGTCAGCCACAAGGTAGCAGCATTTCTCAGGGCTACAGCTGATGTGTGTCAAACTCTGCTTCTTCATTAGTCATTCAATTCAATACATAACTGTCAACTGCTGCCATTGCTCAGGCCCTTTGTACGACCAAACACGTCAACCTTGTTAAAAAGTGCACAAATGGACCTATGATTGATTACAACCACTTCAAATATCACTTTGTGGACTGAAGTCAGCTGATGGTCTTAAAACCAGTACATTTTATGAACCTCTACGGCTCAGCAGAGAGACGATTCGTCACAGACACATCTGAACTGTTGGACACATTTCCCTTCATCATGTCTGTTTTAATGTCTAGTTTTAAACATTTTTGAGTTTAACTTTAAGTGCAGTTACCAATGAAATGCACAACATTCAGGACTACACAGTAGTGGCAGCAGCTCAGTGTTGTTCAATGTGAATCATGTTGTAATCTCAGGATATCATGGGTTTCACCTGTCTGCATCTGGCAGCTAAACTGGGACATCATGACATAATCCATCATCTGCTCTCCAAGGCATCCAAATACATCAACTGTCAGGTAACACATGCACTGCCTCATTGGCTAACGGCAGCTAGCAGCTAATTTTGTAAAGTGTAAAGCACAAGTCTTACAGCCTGTTGTGTGCAGGATGATGGGGGCTGGACTCCCATCACCTGGGCCATCGAGCACAAGCACAGGGAGCTGGTCCACCTGCTGCTGGCCAGAGGGGCCGACGTGAACATCAGGGACAAGGTCAGTACCCACCCTCAACGATCACACTTACTCCATACAGCTGCAGCTCTTACAGATCCACTCTCTGAACTAACTGAAATGTAGGTACGCTAGAAATAAACATACGCAAGCTTTGGTCTCTTTATGCAATATCCGATGATGTTTCTTTATTTTTCTGCAAATGATCACATCTTATGAATGTGTAACCCCCATGAATAGGTGGCATTCAAGTGCCAACATGCTATTTTGAATAAGTTTGTGCAGTTAAAAGATAATTATGATAATGAAATAGAGCACTCTCTCTTTAACAAGATGTTTATTGGTTTTCTGTAAGGCTGTAGGCTACAGTGGTACATTGAGCTAAATGCTAATGTCAGCATGCTAACAAAAGCACAATGGCAATGCTAATAGGCAGGTGGAATGTTTACATTGTTAACTGTAGTTCCAGTAATCCAAAATTCGATTTACAGATACCAAATAAGCATGACTCGGACAAGATACGTCCCAGGATAGTTTGTTTGACCCTTTACTTCAACAAAAAGGTATCAAATACAAACACATATTTTCTCAGGTCAAAAACTATGTTGCTCTGTGCTTCTTACTCTTTCTCACACACACACAATCCCCAGCAGCTGCCGTCGGCTATAACGTCTCGTAATCACAAACAGCTGCGGTCGTCTATGCCGTCAATTTCACATGGCTGGTTCAAATAAATGATATGATAGCACTAACAACAAAGGATTCTAATATTAAAATTAGGGCCGGGACTTTAACGCGTTAATTAAGATTAATTAATTACACAAAAATTAACGCGCTAAAAAAATTAACGCATTTTAATCG